GGGGCTATGTTCTGCTGCCTGTAGGCTGGGACTCCTGGGCAGGCCTTAACTGAGCCAGACCTGGCCGCCCACCTGCTCGCCTGCAGGTGACATTCACCAAGCGGAAGTTCGGGCTGATGAAGAAGGCCTACGAGCTGAGTGTGCTGTGTGACTGCGAGATCGCACTCATCATCTTCAACCACTCCAACAAGCTGTTCCAGTATGCCAGCACCGACATGGACAAGGTGCTGCTCAAGTACACAGAGTACAATGAGCCTCACGAGAGCCGCACCAACGCCGACATCATCGAGGTGGGCCCCCTCACGCGTGCATCACCCTCCCGCTACAGCCACACACCTGTACCCATGCAGCACGTACACAGAGTAACTGCCTGTACACACGTACATGCATACCTGCCCTGCCTCGGCCCTCACCTGTGTGCGCATACACACACAAACCCACATCCTCTCATACAAACCCAGCGCCTGAGGAGGAAGGAGAGGCAGTGTAAGTGAACAGGCCAGTGCCAGGGCCTCCCAGCTGTCAGGTGGGGCTACTGTACCCGCCCCCCGCCACCCCAGCGGCTCTGCAAGGTTCTCATCATGTCTGTCAGGAGTGACGTAACATCTCTGCGCTGTTTCTCGTGTTTTATTTCCCTTTCTCTGTCTCTTTCTCCACTTCTCTGGCTTTTGCTGTGCTCTGTCTCTCTCTTTGTTTCCATCTCTCCTGCTCTGTGAGGGTCCCTGTGGCTCTGTTTTCTGTGTCGCAGAGAGCTGACATTGTGAGCTGTCGAGGACACTGGCTTTGGAATCCAGCCCTAGCCTTTATTGGCTGTGGGCAGGTGGCATAGCCCCCTTGAGCCTTGGTGTCCACCGCCACAGATAGGGCCAAGTGCCTGCCTTGAAGGGCGTTGTGTGAACTGAACAAGATAGCCCAGTTTCTGCTTCTCACACTGAGGTACGGCACCTCTGCGCCAACGAAGAGGGTGCCCAGGAATTCACCCACCCATCTTCCTGGAATGAGAGTTTAACTCAAAGATTTGGAGGAAGTTCCCTTATTTTTATATCAGAGAAAACAGATTGACTCTAGACTAGAGTGTAAAACTTGAATTCGTTTTAACAACATAACAAGTATCTGTAGATATCTTGAGCGTGGGAGAAGGCAGCTTTGGGGTCTACTCCAGACCCACGAAGACGTGCCTGTTGTGTTCAGATCATCGCAGTGGACGTGTGTGAGATGCTCGGGCATGAGGGCAAGGGCAGCTCACAGCGGTGGCCCACAGTAGGAACTCAGTAAATGCTAACTTCCTCCTTGCCTGTCTACGTTTTATTTTCTCTCTGTCTCCATCTCTCTCTCCCGCTATTGCTGCCAGTGTGGTGTGTCCCCAGGGACTCCTTCTACCAGGGTCAGCTCCTCTTCTCCAAAGCTGAGTGCAGGGACTGAGATGGGCAGAGGCAGCCCTGACTGCCTTCCCCTGGGGAGTCCTCAGTGCCTTCTGACCAGAGGTGCCAAAGGGTGGTCAGCCCCTCAGCCCAGCCCCCGTGGAGCCCCTTCCCCACCCATGATCTTAGAAGCACATGTCTCCCTGCCAACTGCATCCGCTGGGTTAGGCCCACTTCCCACATGACCCAGATGTTCTGCTGCCTCCCCCACCAACCAGATCTTCACACACTGCCCCAGAAGGCATTGTCATTGGGGATGGGAGGGTGACACTGGGGAACGGGGCTGGGGAGGTGCTGGGGAGCCCTGAGGAAGGAGATGGGGGGGAAGTACGGGGTGGGGGGGTCTTAGGAAAGGGCTGGAAGCTGACGTGGGAGGGATGCTCACGCCACTGACAGCAGTGCGGTTACAGACCCTGAGGAAGAAGGGCTTCAACGGCTGCGACAGCCCGGAGCCCGACGGGGAGGACTCGCTGGAGCAGAGCCCCCTGCTGGAGGACAAGTACCGCCGCTCCAGCGAGGAGCTCGACGGGCTCTTCCGGCGCTATGGGGTGAGCCCCACTCACTCACTCTCTGTCGGCCCCCCCTTCCGGCCCCTCCCCCCAGGCGCTGCACAAGAAGCATGGGGACTGTGAGAGCCCCGAGGTGGACGAGGTGTTTGCCCTGACCCCCCAGACGGAGGAGAAATATAGAAAGATAGACGAGGAGTTTGATAAAATGATGCAGAGTTATAGACTGGCCGTGAGTAGTCGCATGGAGCACAGCCTCCCTGTGGTGCATGGTGTGGCTTTGCGACCCGGCCCGGCCCTCTCGGCTGCCTCTGATGGGTGTTCCGCTCTGAGCCATGCTGGGGCTGTTGGTGACCACTGAGGAATCTCTGACCTTGGTCGTGATAAACCTGTGACCCTTGCTGGGATTCATCTTGGATGGAGTATGAGCCAGGAGAGGCCTGGACTGTGTCCCTCACCAGCCAGAAGTGTGTAGATGATTGAGATCCTTAGGTAGCAGGAAGGGAGAGAGTGTGCCGTGTGTCCAAATCTTTTCTGGGGAGAGGGCCCCGTGGGCTGGCTCTGATGTCCCCAGTTGGATTGTTTAGGGAAAACAGAAACAGCCAAGGGGGAAGGCAGGGAGGTGGAGGAGAGCGCCCTCTGCAGTAGGCCAGAGGGATGAGAGACTGCCGATGAAGTATCCCCGATCCATGGCACAGGCCTCTGACTGCTGTGTGTGTGAGTTTGGGTCTGTACTCAGGGCCTCTAACGTGCTCCTGTGTGTCCTGCCTGGCTGAGGACTAACCCACCTCCACTCAGGTTCCAGGTGTCCCTGGTCCTGTCTGTGGTGAGCAGAGCTGTGTTCTCATCCTCTGGGCCAGAGCTGGAGCCCCAGAGCGTTCCCACCAAGGAAGAACATTGGCAGGACTCTAAGAGGGTACAGGGCAGGGAGAGTGAGCTGTTGGCCCTGGGATACACAGCCCAGAAACTAGAAGAACCTCTGCCTGCCCTCCCAGGCAAAGTGGGTCTCGGGTGAGGAGCTGACCTGGCCTGACCCTGCCCCTCCATCTTTCTATCCAGTCAGCTGTCCCGGCCCCCAACTTTGCCATGCCTGTCACGGTGCCCGTGTCCAATCAGAGCTCACTTCAGTTCAGCAATCCCAGCGGCTCCCTGGTCACCCCTTCCCTGGTGACGTCATCCCTCACGGATCCTCGACTCCTGTCCCCCCAGCAGCCAGCACTGCAGAGGAACAGTGTATCTCCCGGCCTGCCCCAGCGGCCAGCCAGTGCAGGTGAGTGGACTGTGGGTGAGTAGGCGAGGGAGATGAGATGAGGGGGGGACTTTGGGATTCTGTTCTCAGTGGTCACTGTTTCCCTTTCCCCACCATGGCATTCCCTCATTTGTGTGGCTCTTGAGGAAGGGACTGTGACTCCTTCTCCTGGGGTCCCCTCTCCATGTTGAGTCCCCAAGACTCACTTTGGAAGCAGGAAATCCTGTCAGCTCATCATGGTTCTGTTTCACCTTCAGGGGCCTTGCTGGGGGGAGACCTCAGCAGTGCTAATGGAGCCTGTCCCAGCCCCGTTGGTGAGTGCAGCTGCTCTTCTTCCTGGGGATGGGGTGGGCCTGCCTGCTCAGTGGCCTCGGATCCAGGGTCCCCAAGGACCTAGGTAGGAGGAGGGGGAGATCCCAGGGCTCGAGCTGGATACAGAGTCAGGATTTTGAAGCCCCTGGATTTGTTGTTTGTAGTAGTAATTGGTGTGGATGATCAGAAGAGATGTAGACTCAGGAAATTCTGGGCAAATTGTGGGAATGGATCAATATTTCTAACTGGAGGGGAATATCCAGGTGTTTGTAGTTGAGTGGGGCACATCTGGTTGCAATGTAGAGGATGAAATGTCTGATGTTGGCCAGATGGACAGTCGGCACAGACAGACACACACACACACAGGTACATACACACATGCGCGCGTGTGTACGTTGTCACTGTTGCAGAGCTAGCCGGACATTAGCTGTGCGCTTGTGATCACACATCCACAAACCACAGAGGAAAGGCCGCCCTCCCACCCTCAGCAGCTGACAGCCCCTCCTGCCCTGTGCCGTTGTCCAGCTGGGTGACTGTGACTTCGAATGTCACCATTGACGTCACCCTGACATTCCTGCCATTCCCAGAGTGATCCGGGAATTGGGATGGTAGCGGCCACACACTTTCAGGGCACGACATGCTCTTAGGGGACAGAGCAAGGTGGCATTTCTGACTGAAGTCACCCCCACATGTCCGGCCTTCAGAATCCCTCAGGTACCACATTGCACCTCCCTGGCAGTAATTGTGTTCTGGGGTCAGAAAACCGGGGGGATGGATGAATATTCCTCCTTCTCCAAGGAGAGGGCCAGAGAAATACCTGCAGACCTTCAGGAAACTGATACATAGTGACCCTTGAGCCTAGCAAGTGGAAAGCGAGTGAGAGCCCTGGCTTGGCTTCCAGCCAGCTGTGTGGCCCTGGACAAGTCACCACACCTCTGCCAACCAGGCCTCCAGTTTCCTTGTCCGTAAACAGGGCTGGTAAAAATAAACGCCTTGTCCACCTCGCAGGGTTAGTGTGAAGATTAAATGAAATAATGTGTATGTGGAAGCCCTTTGTAGATTGTGGAGTGTAGAACAAATGTAGAAGATAGTTGTTATGGGAGTTCTTGCCCATCTAATTATGGTGGCAGCTGTAATGTCAATGTCCCAATGCCAGTCACACCGCCACCCCCAGTGAATGGCTCACATCCCCAGAGCTGTGAGCTTCTTGTCACATGCTGATCCAAATTATGGCCTCCTCAGCTCATGGGGAGGGAGCGATCCCAGTGGTTGGTGCTTTGTCCTGGTGACCAGGATCCTCACTGAGGCCCAGATTCCAGGCCGCCAGCCCTTGTTCATCCTGGGTGATTGTGGGCTGGATCAGTCGGGGGCAAATTGTGGGATCTGAAGGTCCTGGGCTTCCTGGCTATGGAGACCAAAGGAGAGAAAAGGTGGGGAGAGGATTGGCTGTGGAAGAACCTCTTGGCCTTTGCAGGGGAGAGGAGGTAATGACTGTGTTCCACTTCTTCCCACCGACCTCAGAGCGCCCCAGCCCAGCCCCACCACACGTAGCATAGAGGTAGGGGCTGAACCCAGTGATTCGGGAGTAAGGGGTGTTCTCCTCCCCTTCTTCCCAAGGCAGGATGATTTTAGGGGGAAAGTCAGATAGCTCAGCCCCCACTCAGAGCCGGAGCATTGCTTCGAGAGGGTCTGGATGACAGGAGTGAAGGCATGGGGGCCATTAACAGGACGGAGAGGTAGGCCCATGCTTTTCCTTTTATGCTCATCTTTCCATTCTCCAGGGAATGGCTATGTCAGTGCACGGGCTTCCCCTGGCCTCCTCCCGGTGGCCAATGGCAACAGCCTCAACAAAGTCATCCCTGCCAAGTCTCCACCCCCACCCACCCACAGCGCCCAGCTTGGAGCCCCCAGCCGCAAGCCCGACCTTCGGGTCATCACTTCCCAGGGAGGAAAGGGGTTAATGCAGCACTTGGTGAGTAGGTGTCGGGGCTGGGGAGTGTGGGAATGGGGGAACGCAGAGCAGACCTGTAGCAGGACAGATGAAGGTAAACCATCAGTTAGGACTTCCAAGCATGGCCTTTCATGAGCTCCTCTTCACCAGAGGACCTAACAAGAGGTTGGGACACAGAAGTATCAGCCTCAAGAGCAGTAAAAAGGGACAGGAGGTGGGAGAGAAGGTTCTCTGATAGGGAGGATGATAGGAGAGGTTTGCTGTCACCGCAGGAGGGATGGGAATGAGATTGGGAGGGTTTCCTGACTGGTGGAGATTGGGAGACAGTGCCTTCTGGAAATCAGCCAGGACAGTGAAGACCTTCCCTAGCTTCCCTCTGCCTCTTTATGTGCTTTGCTGGGGAGAGCCATCCTGTTCCTCCACAGAGAGGTGGATGGGATGGCTGTGGGGGCAGGGGTGTGTGGGAGGGGTGGGGGCAGAGGCCGGAAACTCAGCCATCCCCTTGGTTTTGTTTCTGCTCTCAGACTGAGGACCATTTAGATTTGGTAAGTGAGGCTGTGAGATGTTTGCCGTGGCTTTGAATTCTGGGTCACCCATTACTGTGCGGTCACCTAGCATGGAGTAGATGTGTGTCCCTGTCCTTTACCCTGTGCCTGTAGTGTGTGTGGTTTGTTTATGTGGTTCCTTGCCAGGAGCTGAGCTCAGTGCGAAGCGGGATCCAGAGGTGCATAGGGTAGGGGGGCAGGGATTAGACATGCATGTGTGTGCACCTGCGTGTACGTAGTGCTTTTGTACGGTGCTGCATTCCTGCAGACACACCTTCTCTGTGTGTCCAAGGAGAGTAGGCCAGCCCCAGGCCTCAGAGGTCCCACCCTGATTTGTCCCAGGATGCCTGGATTAGGCCATTGGACCAGGGAGCTGGATCCCACCTCCCCTCTTAACACCACTCAGGCCCGTAGAGCTTTCTTGGAACCCAAGACAGGGACGTCCGTAGGAGGCATGCCAGCCGGACAGCAAGATTGATTTTCCAGGAGGAGCCGAGCAAGCCAGCCCACCTCACAGGCACTGGTTCTTCCTCTCTCTCACACACACATCCTCTCTTTCTCATCTACTCACCCTCAGCCAGGAGTGGGGCGGGGGCTCCTCCCTCCCCAGCTCCCTGACGGGCGGCCAGAGAGGCTGGAAAAGGCAGGCAGGCTTTGGCGGCCAACACGGCGGCAGTTTCGGCCCCAGCATGGAGTTGGAATAAACAAGTGACTCAGCGGCAGATGGAGCTGACAGCCCCACACACGTGTGTGCATACACGCAGGCACACGCCACGCCAGGCCCCGCGTTCCCCTCACAGATGCCAGCACGTTTCTCCCAGGATGTGTGCTACAGTGTGATGGATGGAGAGTAGACTCCAGAGGGACCGGGCAGGAGAAGAGTGGTGTCTGTCCCTTCCCATACTCTGTCCAGAGAGACCAGGTCCCGCATTGATGTTGGGGCCACAGGACCAGCATCCGTGTCTTCCTGTTTGCATGGGTGTAGGACTGAATGAATCTGTGTGTGCATGTTCCTTTTCATGGATCTCAGTGTCTCTGTGAATGTACCAGCGTGGGTTTGTGCATCTCTGGGGGCCTCCATGCTAAGGGACCCCACCATGGCCTTAGGATTTAGGGCCCCCAGCCCAGCCTTGGGATGAAGCGCCTGGATAAGGCAGTCCACTCATCTGGCATCTCCTGACAGACTCTTCTCTCCTTGTGCAGAACAATGCCCAGCGCCTTGGGGTCTCCCAGTCTACCCACTCCCTCACCACCCCAGTGGTTTCCGTGGCAACACCAAGTTTACTCAGCCAGGGCCTCCCCTTCTCTTCCATGCCCACAGCCTACAACACAGGTGAGTGTTCAAGTGGTGTGTGTGTGTGTGTGTGCACTTGGGCTTCGGGTAGGTGAGGGACCAGAGAAGGAACACTGGGTATCCCCTGGGGGATGCCTCAATCTGATGAAGACCCTTGTTTGGGGGGATTCTGTACCTAATTAATGTTGCCAGATTTAGTACATAAAAACATAAGATGCCCTAATGACTGCGCTGACAGGAAACACAACAGAGAATCCCTGATGGAGCAGGAGAAAGGCAGCGTGCAGAACTCAAATTCTAGTAAAAAGACCAGACTTAACGGTCTGACCGAGACTGGGGGGACCCTGGAAAGCACGGCCCCCAGACTCTCTGTTAACCCAGAACTAAAACCATTCCCAAGGCCAACTCTTCAAAGACTGGACTGGACTGTGGGACATAAAATGATACTCGTGAAGAGTGTGCTTTTTAGCTCAAGTAGATGCATGAGACTAAATGGACAGCAGAGAGGGTCAGGAGCTGGTTGAATGGACGTGGGAAATTCAGGGTGGAAAGGAGGAGTGTGCTGTCACAGTATAGGGAGAGCAATTAGGGTCACAAAACAATGTATGTATAGATATTTTTATGAGAGACTAACCTGAATTGTAAACTTTCACTTAAACTACAACAACGACATATATATATATACACACACATATAAGATGCCCAATTAATTTGAATTTCAAATAAAACAACAAATACTTTTTTAGTATAAGTATGTCCAAAAATACGTTAAAGTATGTCCCAAAGACAGACAGACACTCAAAAAGTATTTATTGTTTTATCTGAAATTCAAACTTGACATTTTCTGTTTCTAATATAGGACCTAGTGGAGGAGGGAGGCCCCGGTCCCCATCCTCGAGAGCCTCCAGTGTGAGCAGGAAACAGGACAGAAGTGGGTTAAGCAGATGATTCAGGCAGACCAAGCTCTAGACTCCAGGACTGGGGAGTGCGGAGGTCATGGTCAGTTCAGCAAGACTGCCTGGAGGAGAGTGAAGGGATGAGGGAGAGAAGAACCAGGGAGGGTGAGGAGGCCAGAGAGGAAGCATGGTCAGGGTAGATGTGTCCAGTTTCTTGGAGAAGCCTTGCAGGGGACTCCAGGCCAGGGTGGAGAAATAGGAAAGGGCTCTCTCAGCCTGATGATGCCTTGGTGGTGGAGTGATGAGGAAGAAGGAAATCGAACACTGGTGAGGGTTGGGGAGGGGGATCTGAAGGCGGAGAGTCACTTGACATGGGAAAGGTCTCTGGGTAGAAGAATTCAGACAGGACCCCAGTCCCCAGGCTGTCCTGGATCCCCAGGGTCCTCCTGGTCTGTGTTACCCACTCACACCTGCCTGGGAACAGTCTGTGACACTCTCGGCCGTCCTTGCCTGCGCTCTGAGATGCTGTGTCAGGAAGGGTTTCCCAGTGCCAAAGGCCTTGTCACCTTGTTTCAGAGCATTTCTGTGACTGGGAATCTGGGCCGTTCCCAGTTGAGGAGACCTCTGTCTTCCTCCGGGTTCCCACGTGTGAATGGTTTAGGTTAGGGATGTTCCTGTGACAAGGTCAGACTGGACCAAAAGACCCCTAAACACTTCCCCCTCAAGCCCCCACAGCAGAGGTGAACCATGCTAGATTCCAGACACCAGTACAAATGCCCACAGAAGCCCACCTCCCCTTGTGTGTAAAGCCAGAACCCAGCCCCGTGTTTAGGGACCTCTTGTGGAAGGTAAGAGAGCTGGAGGAACTGCCTCATACTGAGGGGCCAGACTCTCACGTGGGCGTCTGTGTCTGGATCCTCCCACTCGGGTGTCTGTAAACCCCTTGTGCCTCGTGTGTGCGCCCACTTGTGTGCTCACCCCTGGGTTACCACGTCCTCAGGCAGCTTCAGAGAGGAGCTCTTCAGATGGCCCCACCCTGTGGGCTGTCTCTTCATCTGTGGGAGGTGTGGGTGGACAGGAGGGCTCTGAGGCTCTTCCAGCCCTGCCATCTGGGGCTCTGGGGCCCAACTAGAAAAGCTGGCTTCTTGAGGGTGGGTGGGGTGGGTGCGGTGGCGAAAGGCTGCACAAGTCATCTTTCGGGAGCTCTTGTTATTTGGGAATCCCCTAGTGGTGAGTTTTTTGCCAAGCCTCTGGGCCGTCATCTTCTTGGCTCCCGCTGCCAGTCTTTGTGGAGCAGAGGGGAAGGCTGACTGGTGTCAGGAAGCCCAGAACAGACCCTCAGCAAGACCAGACTTTAGACTCTTACTTGTCAGTCTGGTGTGAAAGCAGATTCTGACCCTGAGCCTGTCCTGCTGGGAAGTGTGTGTGATTTCTCATATCCTCTCAGAAACCAGGGCTCCAGTTGCTCTTGCTACAGGGGTAGTTAGGCAGACCTCAATTTAAACAGCAGGTGTTTTCAGGTGACCCTGGGTGTATAAACAAAACCCCAACGAACAGATTGCTGTTTAGGTGTTCACTGTTTACAGTCCTTGGCCCCAGTTCAAGTTCCAGCTGGAGGTGATCTGGTTTATGGTAATGTTTTGGGTAAGGGATGGGCCTGGCCCCTTGTTGACACTGGCTGAGAGGTCTGGCTGTGGTCACCCTGGCAGCAGACCCAGTGGGCTGCCAGGTGGCCTCTGGGCTGCATTCCTCCTGGCCTGGGGGAGCCAGGCCTCCCGACAGGCAGGGCTGGAGTATGGTGGGAACAGTGGGGGACTGGAGGTTGTGTCTCTGCCTTCACTCGGTGAGGACCTTGGGCGAGCACTACACTGTTCCTGGCTTGGCTTCTTTGTTTGTAAAGCAAAAGCTTGGAAATATTTGATCCTAGGGGCCCTGTTCTGGCCTTACTCTGCTTTTTAAATATAGACATATCGGAGCCCCCGCTAATGTTGTTACAAGGCCAGACGCAAGCATAGGCCATCTCTAGGGGAGATTCAAAGGTGATAAGGAGACCTGCAGCCTCGTTGTGGCTGTGCCCCTGGCTTTCTCTGTGACCGAGGGCAAGTCGCCTCATTTGTAAAGGAATGGTTATAATAGGCAATTCTTTTGAGAGGCTACTCTGTGCCAGACACTGTTGTACATGCTTTATGTGTGTTAGCTCCTTCAGCCCTCACCACAGCTGATTGATGTAGGTAGAATTATTGCTTCCAGTTTATAGGCAGAGGAGAAGTAACTTGCTCAAGGTCACACAACCTGTAAGTGGAGATAGCCAGGAAGTTTGACCTCATAGCTCATGCTTTTAACTCACTGCTATATTGCAGAGATAATACTACCTTCTCTGCATAAAAACAGAGAGCCAGAGCAGATGACCCCTGCATAGTAGCATGGGGGTGTAGTGTTGGGATAATGGGGGGATACGTGCTCCCCTCATCACACATGCCCTCCCACCATCACTATGCAGTCTCCCTGTGTTCCTCAGGGACAGATTGTCTCAACTGTCCCAAACAGGATGCAACGTGAAACACGACAGTGCTCTGTAAATGGTGAAACATTTCATGGTTCTGTTTATCCTGTAATGGCGTAAACATCACAGTTTCTGGATGAAGATAGAAATTTTAGAAAAGAGTGAGTGCCATCTCATCAGGAGCTCTGCCAGAACCCTGGCTCGTTATGCCCCAGGCGTGTTTCCTTGCAGCCCCTCCGCTCTTGCAGGCTCCTCTGCTCAGGGGCAGGGGCGGGAGGAGCTGGGTGGCCAGCATGCATCCTCTGCGTGTTTATGTGTGTGGGCGCAGCAGCTCGAACCCTTCCTGCGACCTGTGTATTGACAATCTCTGGGAGACTCGGGAACTTTGCAGAAGGTGGAATGGTAGTTAAAATAATCTGCTTGTAATGCCCCGATTCACCCGATTCACCATTACTGTGACTCCTCTCTGCCTCCGAAAGGCACCTGAAAACTTGACTGAAGGGATGACAGACGTATGTTGTTATTGTTGGGTGCTGTCGAGTCAGTTTCGACTCATAGCAACCCCATATGACAGAGTAGAACCGCCCCATAGCGTTTTCTAGGCTGTCATCTTTACAGGAGCAGATTGCCAGGTCTTTGTCCCACCAGAGCCATTGGAGGGGTTCTAACCGCCAGCCTTTCGGTTAGCAGCCAAGCACTTAATCATTGAGCCACCTTAGACATGTATTAGACCTTCCCTATTAACCTTTTGTTTTTCTTCTTTCTGGTTTTTTTTATATTATCATTATAAAAGTGATACCTTCCATGGTTTTAAAAAAAGTTTAACACTGTGGGAAAAAAACCACCTCTCTTGATCCTCCCTCTCTGACTCTCAGTCCTGGATCCCCAAGATAAAAGCCAGTAGCTTGTGTGAACTTCCATCAACATTTTCTCTGCTTCCGTGAACATTCCTATGTCTGTCCTATTTCTTCTGCCCCATATAAATGGACCGCCTCTCATCTTGCTTTGTTCTTTTGGTAATTACCCTGGAGATTTTTTCGTATTAGCTTATGTAAAAAACATACCTCATTAACTTTCATCACTACATAGTATGCTATTGTGTGGATGGACCATAATACATTTAATCAGATGCCATTGATAAGAACATGAGAAGCTTTCCTGGTTTTTGGCTTGCTTTGGTTTTTGCAAATAATGCTGCAATGGGTATCTTTGTGTGTATATATATTTATCTTTTTCTGTTTTTTTTATAGCATAAATTTCTGGTGATAGAACTGCTAGGTCAGAGGATATATGCGTGTTATATTTTGATAGATATTGCAAAATTGCTTCTCAAAAATGTAAACTCCCACCTACAGGGATGAGAGTGTTCGCTTGGCTGCAGCCTCACCCACACTGAGTGTGATCACACTTTCTACTTTTTGCCAGTATGATGGTTAAAATAGTACCTCATGGTTATTATGATTTGCATTCATGTAACTATGAGTACCACCTTCACTGATTTCGGATGAGTTTATTTAATTATTCACGTCTGTCATTAAGTACTCCCCCTCCTCGGCTCTGTGGTGGTCCTGGAGGTGGCTCCCCGACGAGAGCCTCAGGTCCTCTCCCTCCCACTCCAGGCTCATTCTCCCTTATCCCCCACCCCACAGATTACCAGTTGACCAGTGCAGAGCTCTCCTCCTTACCAGCCTTCAGCTCGCCTGGGGGGCTGTCACTAGGCAACGTCACCGCCTGGCAACAGCCACAACAGCCCCAGCAGCCGCAACAGCCACAGCCTCCACAGCAACAGCCGCAGCCACAGCAGCCTCAGCAGCCGCAACAGCCGCAACAGCCACCTCAGCAACAGCCCCACCTGGTCCCCGTATCTCTCAGCAACCTGATGTGAGTCTGGGAGGTTTTCCATGTGGATGTTTGGGGAGGGAGAGTTGAGGAGCAAGGGGAGGAGTGTCCTCCTGAGAGCTCGGCTCCCCACAAGGACGTGTCGTCAGCAGACAATCTGTGCGGCTGTGCAGATTGTGCAGTGCCAGCCCGTGAGGCGGCCGGGGTCACCTGTACAGGCCTAGGAGACCCATCCTGAGCCCCTTCCTAACCCCAGGGTGGGGGTCGGGGTGGGGGTGGGGGTGACCCTGGTCTGCAGAAGCTGACAGAAATGGGATAGACAGAAAACTAATTTACGTATTCTCCTTCTCTTCCCGTCACTGACCTCTCTCACCTGGTCTCTCTGTCTCCATCCACTTGTCTCTTCCCCTCCCACCACCCTCTGTCTCCCATTACTTTTTCTGTCCTTCACCCGCTCTGTTTCTTATCCCCTGTACCCCATCCCCATTGCCTGCCTCCAGCCCGGGCAGCCCCCTGCCCCATGTGGGTGCTGCCCTCACAGTCACCACCCACCCCCACATCAGCATCAAGTCAGAACCTGTGTCCCCGAGCCGTGAGCGCAGCCCTGCGCCTCCCCCTCCAGCTGTGTTCCCAGCTGCCCGCCCGGAGCCTGGTGATGGTCTCGGCAGCCCGGCCGGAGGCTCCTATGAGACAGGGGACCGGGACGACGGACGGGGAGACTTCGGGCCCACACTGGGCCTGCTGCGCCCGGCCCCAGAGCCTGAGGCTGAGGGCTCAGCTGTGAAGAGGATGCGGCTCGATACCTGGGTACTGTAGCATCACCCCTCCTGTCTGCCAGTGTCTGCTACACCCAGGGACCACCCCATGTGCCCCCAACCTGTCTTATCTCCCACCTGAGAGGCCTTGTGCCCAGCTAGCCCTTCTACCAGCCCTTTTGAGGCAGCACCAATCCCCTTTCCCCCAACAAAGGCCAATCTCCTGCCCCCTCCAGCATCAGTCCCTCTGCTCATTGACTTCCTCCCCTCAGAGCTGGCCCGGCCACTGAGTCCTGGTCCTACTGGGGAGAAGGGGGGTGGTGCACACCCATCGCCTGGGCCACCCCCTCTCACCCCCTTCTCCATCTCCTCTCTTCACAGACATTAAAGTGACGATTCCCACTCCCCTCCTCTCAGCCTCCCTGATGAAGAGTTGACAATCTCACCGCCCACCCCTCCCTGTCCTGGGCTCCTCCCGCTCGACCCCACTTCCTTTCTTGTGCTCCGTGTCCTGTTGATGGTTACATTTGTGTATAATTATTATTATATTATTATTATTATTATTATATTTTTTCTCAATTTGGACTCTCGCTTCGGAGAGGGGGATGCTTCCATCCCCTCTTTCTATGCCCCCCACCGTTTTCACTGGCTGGGGGGCCTCTTTTTTGCAGGAAAGGGGGGGACACTTTGCACGTTGTACACATATGCTGCAGGACGGGGTGGGGAGCCCGACAGGCCTTGGGAAAGGACAGGTGCCGAGCCCTGCACGCGGAGCCCTCCCCCCCCATCCCCCAGATAGAGGGAAATAACCAAAAAAACTACCAAACAACAAAAAAAAACCATACAACAGACTGAAACCCCAAAGTTGACTTAATGTGGGTTTGTGTTTCAGTGGGGAGGGAGGCGGGGGTTCTGAAATCAGAGGCTCTGCTTCTGGGCTGTTCACGTGGCCACAGGCACGTGGGGCAGAAGGCCCCAGCCTGGCCCCCCCAAGCGCCCCCACGCACCCACAGGATACTCACTGATTCTCCTGTCAGCTGCACCCCCTAGGTGTGCAGGTGCTGGCTGAGAGTAGGGTCAGGGAGTCAGAGGCTGGAGGGAGGGGCTGGGTGGGGACCCCTCTCGAAGCACGTTCAGAGAGAAAGACAGCCATGAGGAGAGGGCCGAGGAGGGGCCGAAGGGCTGGGGCAGGGGAGAGCCGGGCCCCCGCCTTTCCCCGGCCTTTTCTCTAAATACACAGTGCAATAGCTCCCCGTCCCGCAGTGCCCGCCAGCCTGTAAGCTGGCCACCGTGTGCAGGGAGACGTGGGGAGAGGAGCCCCAGTGAGCTGGCTCAGTGAGAGTCCGCCTTGGGCTTCCCTGGGAGCCTGAGGACCAGAAAGGAGGCAGGTGTACCCCCAGAGCCGTTTCATTCAGGGCCAGGTGTCAGTGAGGGGACTCCTTGCACGCACACATACCCAGAGGAGTGGACACTGGGATGGTCTGTGGGGGTGGGAGGGAGGGCAGATGAGATCTGGAAGGCCCACCTCCCTGATGCCGCCTCCTCCCAGCTCGCCCGCTCCAGACCCCACTCCCTGCTCTCGGCACCCTCGTTGTCTCGCTACCTCCTGTCCCACCGTCCCCAGGCCACATCCCAGCTTCCCTCTTGGCTACTGTAATTGTAAATAGCGACCTTTGGAAAAACGTTAGCGGTGTAACAGTCCAGGAAACTGTTTTTTTTTGTCGTTGTTGTTGTATTGATATGAAATGAGATTCTATTTTTGTCAAAGTATATTGTAATAATAATGACTCAAACGGCCCGTACTGTACAGACGAGATTCTTCTGCTGTTCTTGCTCCCCTCCCCTGAGTCTGCCCCTCTCTTCTGCCTCTTCGGCGGGGGCAGCGGCCAAGGGGCCCAGGGGCAGCGAAGCATGGGGTCCCAAGACCTCAGGCTGGATCACAGATCAAACTGCAGGGGGCAGGCCCCCAGCCCCATCCACCACTACCCTCCGCCCTAAGGGGCCTGGGCTGGAGAGACATGAGCAGGCAGGCAGGGGTCTGCCCAGGTCCTTCACGCAAGCCCACTCCTGCCCAAGGGGAGCAGCGCTCCCTTGGAGTTTCATCCTGGCTGGAGCGTAGAGTTAGACAAGGCCTGGTGTTGCGGTAAATGACTGTCTTTGCCTGCCTCTGTGACCCGGCCGCTTGCAGTATTCTGACACTTGACAGAGGGAAGGACCCAGAAGCAGAAAGGTGTGTGTGACCACACAAGTACCTGAGTGTGTTCATGAAGGCGTCCTGTATTTATGAGTCTGAGTGTACCTGTGTGGGTGTGGGTGTGGGTGTACCTGTGTGTGTGTCTGAGCCTGTCTGGGTGTATACAAATCTCTGTGTGCTTGGAGCTCTGAGGGCATCTCTCTGACTGTGTGTGCCTGGCTGTGTGTTTACAAAGGGACAGGTGGCTGTTCCCAGCCACATAGCCCTGCCTTCCAACTCTGATCCTCCTTCCTGAGCCCCACTCCCTTCTGCCTGCTCCTTCATCTGCCCTTTCCCTCAGCTCAGACCTGTTCTTAACTGCAGTTAGAGGGGACTTGGTAGTTGGCCCTCTCTGCTTCTCCCTACCACCCTACCTCTGCCAGGGCTTCCCTTGGGAACCTGCCCCCACCCACAGTTGTCCACTTATTCCCACACACCTTTACACACAGCGCCCTTTCCTGGAGTACCCTCTTCCCCCTGCCCAGTCCTGCTTTCTCGTGTGGTAAATAGCTGTCCTTGCCCACCTCAGTGACCCAGCCTCTTGGCAGTATTCTGATCCCTGACAGAGAACTCAAGTCTCTCTTCCTCCCTGAAGCTTTTTTCTTCACTGGGCAGTGATCTTCCTTCCTCGCAGCTTAGCCCCCACGCTCATGGGGCACCCAGCTTGTCCGGTCTTCCCACCTCTCCTGCAGATTTCTGGAGGAGTTCCAAGAATGGATGAGATGTGATCCGGGCCTTGAAAGAAGCCAGGGTGTGGTCTTGTGCGTGCATGCATCCCCAGAGCCTTGCCCGGTGCGTGGCACGTAGTAGGCACTTGTTAAATGCTGACTGGGTGAATGATTGAATGCTAGGTGCTCAATAAACGTTGAATGACTGGCCTTCCCTTCTCAGGCTATTCCCACCATCAGTCTGCCCAGCTTTCTAGGCTGGGCTTGGCCACCATTAAACACGGGGTGGGGGTGAAGGCCCCTGCAGTTCATGGTGCAATATTCACCAGTTTTGCCCTCGGCCTTGTAATGGCAAACCTGGCTTTTGATTACCATGTGTGGCTGTGTATGTGTCCTTCTCTGTCCCTGGGTGCGGCAGGGGCTGGTCTGCGAATGAATGTGTGACATTTCTGCAATTCAGTATCCCAAGGTTTCTCTTGAGGGTAGGGGCTCCTGGCCAGCAAGATGAATGAGTCCCTGGGAACCCAGACCTCAAGTGGGGACTTCATTTCTTCTTCCGCTCACAAGCCAAATTTGCCTCCACCCACTCCCTCCTCTGAAGAACTGGGCATTTGCCAAAGTAACCACTGGAGTCATCCAATGCCCCTCCCCTTCCCAGGTTTCCCACAGCGTTCAGGGACAGTGGGCAAGAGGACGCCCCTAATGGAACACACCATTTCCCCTCACACCAACAGAGCACTCAGTGCAGCGAGACTGACCCCTGACCCCCACCCCAACCCTCCCCCACCTTGGACAGAAAGGAAGTTAATGCACCTTCTCTTGCTGATTATTTATTTGTTTGGAGAGAGAGAAATGATGTAAAAGTGTATCTAGAAATATCTATATCTCTATATATTTTTAACTGACTCTTTGGAATCCCCTGGGGGGTGGGGGGTGAGTTTAGGCTTTGCTGGAGAGGAGGAGTCATGGAGCCTGGGATCTCCTCATTCTCCCCTCTGCCACCTCTTCCCACCCCCAAAGCAGTTGGTAGAAGGAATGGGATTTGTATGGGGGTTGGGGGGGGCTGGAATGTTATATGGAGAATCTGGATTCTCTCAATCTTCCCATTTAAGTCCCAGAGGGAGGGAGGGGAGGGGAGGGCAAGGAGGCAGGGAGGGGCAGGGATGGGCCATGGAGGTGCCCACCCCCAAACCTGACAATCACCCACACCCCTGGGGCTCCTCCTGGGTCCTGGGGCAGGGCGAGTCCAAGTGTGTGGCTGTTGATTTGTTTTCAATATTTCTTTTCGTGCTGTATGGTGATGCTTTCTTAGTATTCTACACAATAAGAAAAAACAAAGTCCTCGAGATTCTTACAAGTTTTGTTTGAAAACTCTTTCACTATATTTGTTGTAAAGAGGTTTACTATTAAAAGAAAGAATACACGTTTCTGATACTTCGGCTTGGGCTCTGGTTTCTTGTACGGTCGGCTGATGGGGGGAAGGAATGGCTTGTGTGGCTCTACCAGGGTGCCAGGCCAGAGCTCCACCTCAGCAGGAACGGTGGTGGTTAGCCTGCCTTGCCGGGGAGGGCACGTCCAGGTGGCCTGAGGTGGGATTCTCCCAAGCTCACTTCTCCAGGATGAGAATTTCTTACAGGTACTTCTGTCAGAAGTAGTGGTAGCCCCGGGACTGGGCAGGGTTTGCCCAGTTAGAAGCTGCAGGAGGGATCCTGGGACACAAGAATGACAGGAATACCACTCAAGGTCAGGTCAGGCACAGGATGCTATTTGGTGTGTGGATATAGCATGGTAGAAGACCTTCAACTTCTGAAAACCTTCATTCAGCAGAAACTTGCCAGGTACCATGTCAGGCACAGATGGATTCCACACCTTCGTGGCCCCCCACGGAGTTCACTCTAGCAGGGGAATCTGCCCTTCCGCTTTGTTTTGAAGTCTTTAACAGTGCCTCCCCTCCTCACATATCCCAGAGGGCCCCACACACCCACCTGGTGCCCTTCGGCTGGGTGGGCTGCTCTTACACCGCCTCCCCACGCCCCAGCAAAGGTGTGCCAGGGGCCAGAGGCAGCTGCCGTGAGGGAGGCGCACCAGACTTGGCTCACTATTAACAGGCTTTGGCCACTCCTCTGTGCCAGGCCCGGCTGGGTGCTGCAGAGTCAAAGATGGAGTGAGGCACCCATAGACAGTGGCAGAGACAGGCCTGCAAATGCCTAAAATCACCATCACCTGGTTCATGCTTTGGGCGCTGCAGACGAAGGCTGCTGTAAGGGCACAGAGGAGTCAGGTAGGTCACAGTGCCTTTGAGCCTTAGATTTCCTCCTTTGCAGAATGCAGCGATCTGTACCAGCCCTGCCTCCCTCACAGGGTCGTTGCAGACTTCAGCTCATGGCTCCCTCAGCTGGAGCAGAGAGGAAAGATGAGCTGCCCAGGAAGGAGTTAAGAAGATGACATCCTCCAGATGAAGCTCTCCTGCTGACTGCCTGTGGTAGCAGCTTCCAACTTGGCCGACAGTTATTCCTGCCTGGTATTCATGCTCTGTCTAGTCCCCTCCCACACTGAATCAGGGTCGGTATGTGTGACCAACAAAATAACGGCAGAAGTGATGGTATGTGACTTCCGAGGCTAAGTCATAAAAGATGTGGCTTCTGTTTCTCTCTATCATTCGCTCTGGGGGAAGCCAGATGCCGTATCGCAGGACACTTAAGCAGCCCTGTAGAGAGGCCCACATGGCGAAGGACTGAGGCCTCCTGCCAACAGCCACTTGAGGGAGGCCTTCCTTTCTTTCTGTCCTTACAGTTTCCAAGCTTCCCCAGACATTGCTACAGATGAGAACCCACTGGTACTATGTATATACCCCAGCTAGCCATGCCCGTGGACGAGAGGACCGCTCTCTGAGGTGACCAAAACAGACCTGACTCAACAGCAAAGTCCTGAGCAAAACCTCTCTCCTCTGTACGTCTCATATCTATTCCTCAGACTGTGTAGCCTGCCCTTCCTTCCTGTAAAAAAAAAAATGGCGCCAACTGTAAAAATGGGGTGGTGGCAGCGTCCGACTTCCTCATGTAACTTCACAAGGGGAAGGAGAGAGAGTCATTATTAGAGCAACAGCCCAAGGCTGATTGCTATGAAGTGGAGGTCAAACATACCTCCTCTTTCTAACCTTTTTACCAATTCCTACACCAGCCATCCCTCCCATGGCACTTTCTACTCCTCTGCTGGGTTTGACAATCCATTGCAATGGCCACACAGAACTCACAGACAATACTCAGGATTATGGGGTTTATTAGGGATGTATCAGGTTACAATTCAGGATCAGGAACGACTCAGGATACAGTCCTTCGGTCAGGACAGCTTCTCAGCTGTGCTCACAGGCAGGCCTCTACCTGGCCCTCGGCCCCTCGGGCCTCTTGGGCCGGCCTGGCTTCTGCCCTGCTCAGGCAAATGTTAACAAAGCTCTTTAGCTCCACTGATAAGTGTTCAGAGGTACCCTATTCTGCCAGCAAGCCTCCTGCATGAAGGCACTCACCTCTCGCTCCGTGGGCTGGGAAGCCCACCGTACTGTCTCCTGCCAGTCTCCTGGTTCTTTTGCTGCTGGTTCTCTGCCGCTGCTTCTCACCATCTCACACCTTCTCCAATGTTACAGCTCTCTGTCTCCTGGGTTTAGGAGGTTCTCAGTGCTGTGACCTTGGGTCCAAAGGACATGTTCCGCTCCCAGCTCTTCTTTCTTGGTGGTAGTGAGGTCCCCCCTTTCAGCCTCTAGGATGGCTCATTTTAAGCCTACTGGGATAGCAAAACTGACCAATCCCCTCATTAGGGTTTCATACACCTTATTTGCATGGTCCCACCCACACAAGGGTGCCATGCACTTTATCTGCATTATTAGCTAGCAAGCTATCCAATTCCCTTGGTGGGCCAC